ATATTAACTTTAGGAAAATCTTAATGATTTGGGGGAGATAGCAAGGAAAATACCTAGCAGAAGTTCAGGGGAAAAGCTTATGTTTATAGAAAATACATATATATATATATATATATATATATATAAATTTATATATATTTTATTTACATACACTTACATGCAAAAGACAAGGAAATAAATATACCAAAACATTAATAGTGTTTATTGCTGAGTGATGATTTTTCTCTTTGTGATTTTTCAAAAATTTTTAAATTGTATACATACTCAAAAACTAATCTGAAAACAAGCTACTAAAAATTTAAATAGAAACAAAACACAAATCAGGATAATGTGTTGATATGTATTTAAATAACTTGAGGAAATTTTTAGGGTTTTTTTTTAATTTACAATGAGAATATAACATACCACATTATAAGAAAAATTGTAAGACTGAAACTCCCACAGAAGTTTATAGAATAAAATGTATACTAAATCCCCCAATTAAAGACCCGTAAAGTAGTTTCAGTGCTTTCTAACCCACCTTCTCACAGCAGGGAACTAATCCCTCTGGGGGATGCAAACAAACTTCAAAGAGAAGATTATGCCCAGACACTAGTACTGTATGGTGTAAGGTTTATACCTAAGTTTGCTCAGATACTTTGACAGAGATCAGAGATGCAGATCCAAGGAACAAAGACTAATCTTAAGGCAGATTTCTTGCAATCATTTAAAAAGGCAAAAATAATGCATTCTATAATATCCGAAAAAGGCAAATATAAGTTTAATTAAAAACAAGAAGGTTGTAGAAGTAGACAAAAGGGACCTAAAATCAAATACAAAGTGACAACTTATTTCTTGGTAATAACAACTAGGAAATTTCAAACTCCCAAAGGAAGCAAGCAGCACCAGGAGTTCAGTTGTGTACCCAAATCTTCCTGGCACAGTGTTTCCAAGGTGTCCCATTCAGTGTCTGATGTCTTGATACACTAAGTGGAGCTGACAGATCATATGTCCCTTCCATGGAGGTCATGGAATGCTCTTCAGAATACAGTACACAGCTTATAATACAGGTCTTCGGTAATGGAGACATTAGAAGTAGTTAAGGGTAAAAGAACTGTTTTTAAAGTCTAGTATTATTTCATACTGGCCTTTCTCATATCTGTCATATTTTTGTGAGGTAATTTTATTTTTAAAGTATGATTTAGAAGTACCTGATCTTTTTTTTTTTAAGATTTTATTATTTAAGTAATCTCTATACCAACATGGGGTTCAAACTTTACTACCCCGAGATCAAGAGATGCACGCTCTACCAACTGACCCAGCCAGGTGCACCTAGAAGTACATGATCATTTTTTTTAAGATTTTATTTATTTATGTAAGAGGGGGAGGGAAAGGGGCAGAGGGAGAAGCAGATTCTCCAGTGAGTAGGGAGCCCAATGCTAGGCTCAATCGCAGGCCCCTGGGATCATGACCTGAGCTGAAGCAGACTTAACCGACTGAGCCACCCAGGTGCCCCTGATCATTTTATTAAAATGTTTCAAGTAAAGGAGCAGCGGATCCCAGTAATTCAGCGTTAGTTTCCCAGTTGTGTTCTTAAGTAGGCTCCATACTCAATGTGGGGCTTGAACTCACAACCCTGAGACCAAGATTCATGTGCTCTAGAGACTGAGCCATCCAGGTGCCCCTATTTAGTTTCCCAATTTTTAAATTAGGTAATCTACCAAAAAATAAAATCCTTAATAAAGACCTAAATGCAAAAGGCAAAACCATAAATTTCTTAGAGAAAAACTATCTTCTTTCCGTGGTATAGGAAACTATTAGCCAATTTTAGTACATTAAAATCAAGAAGTTATGATCAAAAGTAACAAAGACAGTAAAGGACAAACTATACAGTGGAAGAAGATATTTGTAATACACACAGCCAGGTAATTAGTATCCATACTATAATCTTACAAGTCAACGAGGAAAAGGTAGAAAAATCAGTAAGAAAAATTAGCAAGAGATTTGAACAGGCACTTTAAAAAAGAAGTTATTCAAGAGGCCAATAAGCAAAGGTGCTTGGTCTCATTAGTCATCAGGATAATGCAAATAAAAAGGAGATACTGCTATATAACCATCAGGTTGGCAAAAAATCAACAAATCTAATTCTAACTGATGAAGTTGTAAAGCAATAAGGACTATCAAACACCGCTGGAGGGAGTGTAGACTAGCACAATTTTGAAAAACAGTTTAGCATGATCCAGTAATCAAGTATGACATCCCAAGGAAATGTACATTTAAGTGCACCAGGATTTACATATAAGGAAGGATTACAGGGGAACCCTGGGTGGCGCAGTGGTTTGGTGCCTGCCTTTGACCCAGGGCGCGATCCTGGAGACCCGGGATCGAATCCCACGTCGGGCTCCTGGTGCATGGAGCCTGCTTATGTCTCTGCCCCTCTCTCTCTCTCTCTCTCTCTCTCTCTCTCTCTGTGTGTGTGACTATCATAAATTTAAAAAAAAAAAAAAGGAAGGATTACAGCAGCATTGCTTCTAATAGCCCAAAACTGCAAACAACTTCAAGTGTTTTCAACAGTAGAATAGATAAATTGTAACATAATCCTACAGCAATGAAAATGACTACAGCTACATACAACATGCAGAACCCCTACAAACATAACCTTGAGCAAAAAAAGCAGCAAAACTACACAAAGAATAATTCTGTTTCTATAAAATTCAGAAACAGGCACTAAATTATATTTTTCAAGGAGGTATACTTCTGTCATAAAACTATAAAGAAAAATGATTATCATAAAAGCCAGGATAGTAGTTACCTCTGGAGAACGGAAAGGAGGGACCCTCTGGAGTGCGAACCAAATCCACTTCCACCACTTACAGGGCCTCAGCAAGAGTACAAATAGAGGCCCTCATACCATATGTGTAAATATTTGAAAGACATGAAACAAGCTTATAAACTATTAAATAAAATATGTTCTATCCTCCTATCATGACAAATATACCTTTATAACTACCTGGAAAGCCAGATTCATGCAAAGAATTCTGGATTCCCTAGAGTTCCATGCTGAAATACGGTGGTCCAGGGAGAACTGGCCACTGGCCCACCACCCATTGCCCTCTTCTCCAATCCAACACTGCCAAGAACCTCACACAAGCATGCAGTCACTTCCACTCATAAGTCCAAACTCCATTCCACACCCTACTCTCCACAAATAGCCACACTTAAGCCATCCCTTATATACACCAGCAGCCCCGTCCACCCTTAGAAGGACAGACCCCAGGAAAAGGACTCACAGAGGCTCTGGAAACAAGCTCAGGACCACGTGAACAAGAAATTCTGAGATAATAGGTATAGTATAGCATGGAAAGGTTCAGGTTCTAAGTAGACATGTCCCATGCCCCAGAGACTCTGCCCCATGGAAAAGGGCCAAAGCAGGGCCCATTAAAGCACAAGGCCAGGGCAGGAAACCCTCCAGCAGTAACAGGATTTTCTTAGACCCAGACAACAATATATTCCTTAGCCTGGATAGCAGTAACATGGGCACTCACTTGATAATTGTTAAACTACACATATGAGCTCCATGTACTTTTTTTCCTCACAAATAAGAGATAGACATCATGTGCCTGCTGATATTATACACAATATCACAGAGACCTCTGCCAAAAATCCATAACCCAAATCTAATCATGAGGATATAATTCGATCCAAATCTAGAGACCTTCTACAAGAAAAGAGACCTAAATTCTTTAAAATGTGTCGTCATAAAAGGTAGAGAAAGGCTGTGAAACTATTCCTTACTGAAAAAAACATTAAATGGACCACCTGATGCTGAGTTGGATTCTGGATCAGAAAGGAAAATGCGATAAAGGATACTATTGGGACAACTGATTAAACATGGACAACTGACATTTAATTACATGAACATTAAATTCTCTTATTTCAATGGTAAGAAAATTCTTAGGAGATATATTCTGAAGTATTTAGTGGTAAACGGTCACTAGGTCTGCAACTTATTCTCAAATGGCTCAGCAAAAATAATATATACATATAGGGTGATAAAGCAAATATGGTAAATGGGTAACAATTGATGAATCTAAGGAAAGGGCATATGCACTTGACCATTCTTATAACTTTCAGATTCTCAATAAAGATAGCTATTTTATGAGTATTACGGTCTGACAATGAAATAGAAAATATTGCATAGCCAATTAAGAGCATCACTACCAGTGGAATTCTAATTACCCCACAATACTAATCCGAGTAAATTCTCTCTCCCTAAACACCAAGTAATACACACAACTGCTTGTGTGTGTGGACCAAGATTTGCTCTTTGGCATACCTCTGGCAAATGTATCACTCTCTTAGTTTCCAAAGAAAAGAACACTAGGTTATGGGGTTATTTTTTTCTCATTAACCAAGAAGGATTTTAGGTTGAGAATATACTCAGCCTATGCAAGATACTCTAACCTTATCTAAGATCCTGTTGTCCAGTAATACAGATCCAAATTAGTCCAAAAGCTAAAGACAAAGGAGGTGTTTCCTTCAACTAATTTCCAACTTTTTTTTTTAACCAGAAGACTGTAAATTTACTACATTAAGTCCATTTCAAACATCTCCTTCCAGTTGAGTGGCAGAGTTCCCTTTATATGATTTTGCAACTTAATTCTAAGCCTTCCTCATTAGCAAGGTGACAATATTTCATACCAAACAGTTAACTTCCAGGCATCTGTGAAAGATACAAACCAAAACTCAATGATTACAATGAATAAAGCCATACCTCAAGCCTATTATAGCAGTGACTTTTAATTTAAAATGTTCACTGTGCTTATTCTCCATTGCTTAGGATGATGTGAAATAAAAGGGAAAACCTATTAAATATATGTAAAGATAAATCACAATTTAGAACATTCACATATCCCACATGTATATTTATCTCCGCCTGACCTTAGCCAAAGGCCAAGAAACAATGTTGTGCAAAGTTTTCTCATACAATAAACACATAACATAATCAAACATGCAAATACCTGAAAGAGTGCCACCCGTCCTAGGATAGGCCACTTCAACATACACTTCAAAGGTGGTCTCTGGGTTCTGCCTACAAAAGAACAGATTGTGATTACTGACAAGGATTGAAGGTGTACGGTATAGAACATGTGGGCTATGGTATAACGCCAACCTTACTTAAAACCAATAGCTATGTAGCATTGGCCAAGTTACTCAACTTCTCTGAGCCATGCTTTTCTTTTTTTTTTTTTAAGGTTATTTATTTATTTATTTACGATAGTCACAGAGAGAGAGAGAGAGGCAGAGACACAGGCAGAGGGAAAAGCAGGCTCCATGCACGGGGAGCCCGACGTGGGATTCGATCCCGGGTCTCCAGGATCGCGCCCTGGGCCAAAGGCAGGCGCCAAACCGCTGCGCCACCCAGGGATCCCCGAGCCATGCTTTTCTGATCTATTAAATGAAAATGCCTGGGGCACCTGGGTGGCCCAGCTGGTTAAGCATCTGCCTTCAGCTCAGGTCATGATCTCACATGGGTCCTGGTATTGAGCCCCGAGTCAAGTCGGGCTCCCTGCTCATAGGGAGTCTGCTTCTCCCTCTCCCCCAGCCAATTCCCCCACCTCACTTGTACACACTCTCTCCTCTCTCTCAAATAAAGGGAAGGAAGGAAGGAAGGAAGGAAGGAAGGAAGGAAGGAAGGAAGGAAGGAAGGAAGGAAGGAAGGAAGGAAGGGGAGGGAGGAAGGAAGGAGAAAAAGAAAGAAAAGAAAGAAAAGAAAAGAAAAGAAAAGAAAAGAAAAGAGAAAAGAAAAAGAAAAAGAAAAGAAAGAAAACATCTAACCAGAAGATTTATAATGAAACCTAAAGAAAACACACAATAACTGTCTGGGTACAATGCCTAACAAATAAGCAGCTAGCTATGATTATGATTTCACGGGTGTCATATTTTGAATTTACACAGCTGTATCTCCAAAGCCCAGAGGTAGATTCTTTTTTTTCCCCCAGAGGTAGATTCTGAAGAAACTCAAACCTAGGCAATACTAGCACAAAGTAGATTCTCCCGCATATTCTGGGATAAAACACATATGATGCAGTTAACTTGCTTATTTATAGGTTTTATTTTTTTTAAAGATTTTATTTATTTATTCATAGAGACACACACAGAGAGAGAGAGAGAGAGAGGCAGAGACACAGGCAGAGGAAGAAGCAGGCTCCATGCAGGGAGCCCGATGTGGGACTCGAACCCGGGTTTCTGGGATCACGCCCTGGACTGAAGGCGGCGCTAAACCACCGAGCCACCTGGGCTGCCCTATTTAGAGGTTTTAAAGACTGAAACAAAAGGGGCACCTGGGTGGCTCAATGGTTGAGTGTCTGCCTTTGGTTCAGGTTGTAATCCCAGGGTCCTAGGATCTAGTCCCACATCAGGCTCCCCACAGGGAGCCTGCTTCTCCCTCTGCCTATGTCTCTGCCTCTCTCTCTGTGTCTCATGAATAAGTAAATAAAATCTTTTAAAAAAAAGACTGAAACAAGAGAAACAGTATCCTAAATCACTACACTATTATGAAGACAGGATGCTAATCTAAATATAAGATACTGTTTCCACAGAGGGGACTTCACCTGTACTGGCACTGGCAAGTTACACAAAGTTTCATTATTATATCCTTTTACCTCTTTATGTCATAAATATTTCATAATAAGTCTGAAGAAGATCACAGCACTAACAGAACATTAACAGTTGTTAATTCTGAATGATGAGAACATCAGGTTATATATATATATTTAAAGATGTTATTTATTTATTAATGAGAGACACAGACACAGGGAGAAGAAGCAGGCTCCATGCAGGAAGCCTGACATGAGACTCGATTCTGGGTCTCTAGGATCAGGCCCTGGGCGGAAGGTGGTGCTAAACCACTGAGCCACCGGGGCTGCCCAACATCAGGTTTTATTATCTTTGAGTTTTCTCTTTGATTCTAAAACTACAATAGGGATCCCTGGGTGGCGCAGCAGTTTGGCGCCTGCCTTTGGCCCAGGGCCCGATCCTGGAGACCCGGGATCGTATCCCACATCAGGCTCCTGGTGCATGGAGCCTGCTTCTCCCTCTGCCTGTGTCTCTGCCTCTCTCTCTCTCTGTGTGTGTGACTATCATAAATAAATAAAAAAATAAAATAAAAAAATAAATAAAACTACAATAAAAAGATACTTCCAGATTGAAAGTCATTTAGAAGAAAATGTTGTATTTTCAAATGTCTATAACTGAATTCTATTTTAAACCTGACAACAAGGCTCAGAAACTTCGAGACACCTAATCAGATCTGTTAATTTCAAAGAAATAAATACCTTGAATTTGCCCAGTAGATTCCATTTCTTAAAATAACTCTCATTCATCTCATTTCAACCTCATTATATAATCCTATGAAGACAAGTAGATCAGTTATTATCATTCTCACCACCCAGGTGAGGAACCTGAGGCGGAGATTCTATGTGACTTGTTGATGGTCCCAGAGCTAGTTACAAACACACCCAGAGCTCAAATTCTGTGCTTCATTGATTCTAAGATGAACTTCCCCACCCCACTGCCCCCCCACCCCCACATCTCTTAAAATCTATTGTATCTTACAATGCTAAATGGCAGCACTTTTTTTCTTTCTTAGTAATGCATATAATGGTTCATTTTACAAATAATGGCATCTTAGATTCAATAAAATATGTTAATATTCCCTCTACTTCCTTAGTAGAAAAATGTGTGTTTTGTCAATCAGGAATCTACTTATCTCTCTTGTGAAGGATCATCATTCCTTCACTGAAGAGAAACTTAAGCTTTTGCTTTTTTTTTTAATAAGTACCTACAGTGAAAAGAGTTGGCTGCTCTAAAGTTCAAGGTATTTAAATATACCTGTCAAATATAATTTTAAAATCAGACAGTAAAAGAAGAGTATTTTACTTAAAAACCTAAATAAGGGCAGCCGGGGTGGCTCAACGGTTTAGCGCTGCCTTCTGCCTAGGGCGTGATCCTGGGGACCTGGGATCGAGTCCTGCATCGGGCTCCCGGCATGGAGCCTGCTTCTGTCTCTGCCTCTCTCCCTCTCTCTCTCTCTCTCTGCGTCTCTTGTGAATAAATGAATAAAATCTTAAAAAAAGAAAAACTAAATAAAACAAACTAAAGTTTTAAGAGAGACTTAAAATTTTTTGTGTGTTTTCCCTTGCAGGAGGATATAAAAAGGCCTACCAGGTCAGCATCCTTTGGCCACCAAACATTGTGGAAAATGTCCTATGGAAACATTCCTTTCATTCAAATGATCTCAAAGCAGAGTGTTTGATGAAAGAAAGGAATGCACTAAAGTTGTCTAAAAAGGGTCAGGAAGATTCCTTCTAAAATCTAAACAAAGCCTTCTTGCAGTGCCTGGGTGGCAGAGTCAGTTGAGCATCCCACTCCTGGTTTCAGCTCAGGTCATGATCTCAGGGTCATGGAACTGAGACCCATGTTGGGCTCTGAGCTGAGCGTGGAGTCTCCTTAGACCTCTCTCTTTGTCTCTACTCCCTCCCCTGCACTCACTCTCTATAAAATAAATAAATCTTTAAAAGAAAAAAAATGTAAATAAACATATCTTTTTTAAGTCTATTTTGCAATTGGCTGAATTTTACCTCAAAATTTCATTGGAAAATTGAAATAACAAACATGCACATATGAAGAAATTATATAACAAAGTTTTAAACACTGGAGCTCTGATATATTAACCTGTGCCATCAGATTAAGGCATTTTGTACAGACCTGCTATCTCTCTAGGTGTAGACCGGCCTAACATTGTCTATACTCGTGGTCTCTGCTGCTTCTCCCTTCCTCTAACACACTTCCAACAGGCTTCTGAACCTATCACAGCACTGAAACAACAACCACATTGCTAAAATGTGCTAAAATGGCCGACTGTCAGGGCTTATCTTAATGTCTCAGCAGCATTTGACACAGTTGATACTTTTTCCTTGAAAGACTTTTGTCTCTTGCCTTCCAGGATATCACTCTTTATTGGTATCTTCCTACCTCATTGACTGTTCCTTTGTTAATTCCTTCTCTCCTACCCTCAAATTTAGTCCTGGACCTCTCCCTGTCTCCACTCATTACTTAGATGATCTCATTCAGCCTTGTGGCTTTAATTACCATGCAAATGCTGACAAGCCCCAAAATCATGTCTCCAATCTGACTTCTTCCCCAACTCCAGATTTCCTTATCCAATTGCCTACTCAACATCCCCACCTGGATGTTCAAGAAGCATTTCTCATTAAACAAATGGTGCTTTTCTCTCTCAAACCTGCGTAGCTTGCATTCTAGTAATTATTCAACCAAAAAATACTTGGTGTTATCTTTGACTCCTCTTTTATATGCCACAATTATTTACATGTCACAATCAGCAAATTCTGTTGATTTGGAATGCTTCTCACCATCCCCAATCACAGTATCTTTGCCAGATCACCATCTCACCTCCAAGATTGCAATTCTTTTCTGATCTTGCTTTCTCTCTTCCCCTCTTTCGGTCAGATTTCAATTTAGTGGCCAGTAATCCTTTTACTATAAAGATCAGTTTAGGTCAGTCCTTGGCTTAAAACCTCCCCAAAGTGTCCCATATCACTCAAAGTCAAAATCTGAGTTCTGGAAATGAATGATGCGGATGGCTGCACAACAGTATGCATACATCTTTAATACCACTAAACTGTACAAAAATGGTTAAGACGGTAAATTTCACATGTATTCTACACTTGAAAAAAAAAAGCTGGAAAGCGGAAGAAAGTCCTTACGACGTCTACATGATCTGGTCTCTCCCTCTCTCTCCAACTTCATTTCATATCTTTTTCCCCTTGCTCACTGCACTCCAGGCACACTGTCCTTCCTTCAGCAGCTCACTCACCAAACTCATTCCTATCTAACAGCCCTTTGCATCAATCTTCATGTAGGTGGCCCTCTTTCTGTCATTCAAAACTCACCTTCAAGTTTAACTCCTCAGAAAGGCCTTCCCCAATACACTCTCTACCATCTAACTTTAATTATCCTTAGCATACCTATTACAATCTTGGTCACTGTCAGTCTCCCTCTCTGAATGTAAACTGCAAGAGAAGGATTTTGTTGATCACATCCCACTAATGTTTCCCAGGAACCTAAACAGTCGGGCATATAGCCAGAATCAAATACTGAGTAGAAGGAATAAAGGAAGACAGACCAGTCTTTCCTAGGGTCTGAAAGATTTCAGTAAATGATAGTATTATACACTTCCATGATTCTCAAACTTTAGCATGTGAAGAGAGAGATTTCCAGCCCGACTCCAGAGTTTTGGGGGCGGTGGAGGACCCCAGAATTAGCATTTCTAACAAGTACCCAAATATTTGTTTACTAACAACTAATACTGATGCTGCTGGACTAGTGATCCCACTTTAAGAACCGCTGGACAAGTTAAACGAATAATTCAGTACATACAACATAAAATAAACTTAAGGTATACCTCAATTATCCATCATTTCAACAGTGCTTTTGCAAAAAAAAAAAAAAAAAAACAGATTTCAAAGAAAAACATTTGTAGAAGCACTGAAGCTTACTTCTCTTCTATTGCTATCCATAGTTACTGCTTCATTCTAATGAGAAATAATAAAACTACCTAAATTTTTCACTCAGTTCAAATAGCTGCCAGAGCTCTATTACATAGAGCCAAAGATTATGAGTTTCTTGAAAAAAAAAAAAAGAAAGAAAGAAAGAAAGAAAGAAGCTACTAAAACACTAAGAACAAATTGAACTATAATTATAAGTTAGAGTCATGCTTATCCATGATCACTTATATGTTGCCTTATGGAAGAAGTGGTGACTAATGTTGTGACAAGTTATATAACATACCAACAAATATACATAAGTTATTTTAAGGGCCAGTGAAGCCAATGCAGATGGAAGCATTTTCTATTTCTCTGCAAATCAAAAAACAAATTTAAAAGTGTCTCTTCTAAATGCAAATGGCCAAGAAACTCTTAATATTTTCATTAAGCCTATAAACAACTAAGCCTAACAATTCCCAGAGAGTCTCTGAGACTACCTTGAGACTGCTTATTTCCTCCATTACTCCTCAAGATGCTCAATATTTTTAACTACTTGGCTAAAGGAACCGAAAAACCTATTTCTGTCCTATTAACACTCACTGCTAATTCAGTAGACGTAATGATGCTGAGAAGACCATATTCAGAGCCAATTTTCCAATATGGACCCAAGTTTTCCCAGAACACTTCATGATATAGCTTAACATATTACCATGGAAATGTCCTGGTTCTCCCATGATATCCCACTATTAATTGCCTTACATTCCTATGCTTCAATGATCTGGAACTCTGCCCACCTGCCAAGCAACTTATTTTTTTGCCACCTACCCTTACCTCCTGCAGACTTATATCCTAACACCCAGCTGTACAGACTACTTGTAGCCCTCTGAACAAACCATGCTCTGGTTCTCTAGTAACGTCATTACTATACTAACTTCCACTACTAACTGTTTCTATGTACTAGGCATGTGCTAAGCACTTCACAAGCATTATCTCAATTGATCTTCAACTATCCTATATGTGTTTTTACCCCATTTAAAAAGAAGAACACTGGAAGTCAGGATAAACTAGCCAAAGTCAAAGCAAAGTAGTAGCTGAATCAACGTGGATCATCCAAAGCTCTAACCACTTTACCATTTGACATTATTCAGATGCTCTTCTGCAAGAAAGTCTTTCCAGTCTTTTGCACTTGACAAATTCACTCACCAAGCCTCAGCTCAGACACTTCCTCTTTTCTGGGAAGCCTTTCTCAACCCCCCATGCCCACAGCCCAGACAGGATTAAGTGCCCCTCCTCCACATTCCCAGGGCACCCTGTGTTTCCCCCACTCTCTTTCCCACTTTCTTGCAGTTCTTACAACATTCAACCCTGAAGCAATTAGAATTATGTGAGGGACTTTTAAAAAGCCCTAAAGCCCAGGCCACACCCCAGAACAATTAAATCAGAATCTCCAGGCACCAGTATTTGTTTAAAGCTCCCCCAACTTATTCCAACGTGCAGCCAGTGGAGAACTGCCAATGTACCTCTGATTAAATATCCACCTTCCCCTCTAGACTGGCAGCTCCTTGAGGGCACCAACTGTCCTCTCACATAACCCTGGTCCGACACCTGACATAATAAGTGTCTGATGAATGAGTCTTCCCCCAACACCTAACATGTGGTTTCCGGCTCCCAATAAGGGCTTCTCTCTCTCCGACAAGAGGTAATTTATTGAATACACACTGCTTACACATGACTGTTACTCTTTAGAGATATTTTCCTTTGGAGTCAAAGGTATCAATAAGTCACACCTGCTGACAACAGCCTTTGCTCTTAAATACAGAAAAATGACACACAAACAGCTAA